CCGGACAAACCTAAGTTATATTTAATATATGCACTCTCCCTAGATTATCCTATGAGCTGTGGTACTGAGTTCTCCATAGCCCTACGATTTGTTAATATACCATTTTGCCTTTCCACAGTGGCAGAACCAAGGGAGTGCACCCTGAACAAACCAATGTTTGGAGAATCTTTTACTGTATTCTTGTTTCTTTGAACAGTGTAAGGCAATAGTTCCAAAATAAGTTTTTGTGGTGGGTATGCATATATACCTGGAAAACAAATCTAAGCTCTAGTTTTAAACACTAAAAAGTTTTTTACTCCCAGTTTCTCAGAATAACATTTTTCATATTGTGACACACAAAGTCACCACTGCCATGTGTGTGACATGGGGGTCACCACTCCCATGAAGTGAGACATACAAAGCCACCATCCCCATCTTTGTTTCTCTTAAGTATCATGACACTTGAAAAAATGATGAAACATTCAATGCATTTTTAAGTGAAAAAAAAAATTAATGCAGTCCAAAATAGAATTGTTTCAATAAATGTATTTTAAATAAAATTAGAATTTTAGACACTTAAAAATACTTCACAAATTATCACAAACCATTTTTATTGCTATAAACACTACCTTAATAGTTTCAGTATGATCAAATACAACATATATATTTAAGATATACAGGACACAAATTGAAGAAGAAGATTGCTGATGCAAGACAGCAGTAGAAGAAAAGGTAAGATAAAGAGAACCAATCAGACTACAATCGTGTAACAGAAAGTATTAACAAGAATAAACCCAAAAAAATGCTGTTACTAAGTTATGTGTTCCTCTTTACCTCAAGTAAGCAGTATCAAGTATTTAAGTACCAGCCAATGCTAACACAACCCTAAAAAGAGAATGCTGAAACACAGTAATGTTTACCAGCAGACAAGACTTCGCACACATAAAACTTCATATATGTGCTAGTAACAACTTCAGTCTCACTTAGAAAACAGTGACTTAGACTCAGCACAAATTGTGACACACCAAAGCGAACACAACTTTTCAAGGGCAAATCAAATTATATTCTTCCTGAAGCTAGTGACCTAAACATGGCCATAAAAAACTCAGCAGGGGCAGAATATACTGCCTCTGGCAGCCTGCTGCTTCTCAGAATTTTCTTATCATCTGCAGTTTGCATGCGTCCAAGATCGAACCTGTGGTCTGCTGGAAAGTTCTTAATTTAGTTTCAGTGTGCCATGTTAGTATTGTGAACTGCATGCTCTGAGAGAATAAAGGCACAAGAAACAATACTCCAAGTCTGATCTAGGTTACAAACCATACACCTTTGCACAATTTGATTTCCACTACTAAAAAAAAGAAAAGCAGTCTGTATAATAACAATGCAGTGTGCAGAGCAATGTGGACATTTTGGACCTGGCTGTGTTGGTTAGGATAACAGAAGAAACACTTTTAGTAAATTCAACATAAATTCCCATTCTGAGTTATATTGGTAGAACAAAAGCCCTTACCCCCTTCCTTCTTTTTTTCTCTTCTTGATACAAGATGATTAGCTCATTTTATTAAAAAAAATGGATCTAGTCTTTTTTCCAACAAAAGCTATTATCTGGTTTGGGTATTGTCAGTGCAGCTTCACTGGTAATTATCAAGTGTAGATAGAACCAAAACCTGGCATCTATAAAGAAAAAGTTTCAACAATATTGTGTTTATTTTGCTATAATAATCTTTGTAGTTTTACTATCAACACTAAGGACTTACTTCAACATATATAAGCTATATGTTTCTAAACAGCAGGTCAGGAAATGAAGATAGAGAATGAAAACAACTTTATAGATCATGAAAGATTACATCAGAGGTATTATTACATTAAATATAAAACATTTTATTACTGAGATGTTAACCAAAGAATGTACATTGTAAGAACAGGTAAGTGGCAGTGAAAATGGTGAGAAAATGGGGCCAAAATTAAAAAAAAAAAAAAGCCTGAACTGAAAACTCATTGTCAGAATAAACAATTATATTAAAACACAGTAGCCAAACATACACCACTACAAAATAAACCAGAAACTATTCATACAACTCATAAAAAGAAAACAGATTATCTGACCCTTCGGGATCTTTGATTCCGCAAAGACTCACACACAATATTGAGTAATTTAATATGTAATTTAATTTAATTTAATCTGAGCAGAACTCAGAAGTGCCCCTAACCAATATGAGCAGGATTAAACCCACTCCAGTGGGAAGAAAAGATGTGAATTAAAAATAGGTTTAAGAAAATAGGTGTCAAATGTGTAAGTCTTTGATTTTAGACTTCTTAAAAGCTTTAGAAGAAAGAAATAAAAAAGAGTAAGTACTAAATTAAAAGAACTTTACCTTCAGCATGCTGTTCGCCAGCTTCACTAAAAACTCTATGTCTGAAATTGCCTAGAACAAGGAAAAACTGAAAAAAGTCTGACTACTTTGACAGAGACTAGTTTTAGTGAGAAAAACGGAAAATCTGAATAGAGCTATCAACTTCAACTACTTGACCGAAACAATCAGGAAGTACTGACAGCGAAGTCTTTGTGCAACAAAGTTACTAATGGTAACTTAGGACAAGAATGAAATTTACTCAGTGACTCAAATTATGCTTACACCAGAGTCACACACAGACATTGATCTTAATGACAGAATTTTTAAACAAAATGTGATGCTGCTGAAAAGCATACAGTCTTATTATATTGGTTCTTTACAGCATGGAGATACACTGTCACTTTGTCAGCTTCACTTATATCTTATCAAATATCTTAAAAAATTACGGCCTGTTTTGCAGGAATTCAACAGTCAAGGAATTACCAAGGAAAATTGGGAAGCACTGTAGCATAATCTCCCTGTATTCTCAAGAGCAACCAGTAGCTTTGTTGATGATACAGAAGTATAAATATTTCCACTACATATTCCTTTATAAAAAGGTAGTGAAAATTACGCTGTTTAATTTCAAATACTTGCCTTAACCTGTAATATTTCACATACCATGCTGCCAACATTCCCACTACATAGCATACTATAACAGGAACAAATAGTTCAATACTGTTTGTCAGCACAAGCTCAAGCAAGGCTGGTTAAGATTAGTTACAATGAAAAGGAAGAATAACAGGAAGTAAGTTTATCCACGATGAGAATGTATAAAAAATTTTCATTTGTCAGGATTCCACAATCTCTGAACTGGGAAAAAGATGGCTTCAAAACATGTAATAAAGGTGACTACTTGTTTTAACACTTTGGTTTGCTTTGGAATATTTTCTATCAGAAGCCACAAGTAACATCTAAACTGCTTAAAAGATTTGCAGTGTGCCTCTTTGGCTCTATCACTGTTGCTCTCAGCTTTCACAATCCACTTGCAGCATGTGCTCTGCATGGTCATTTCTTAGGTAGTTTTAAGATGTTCAGTACATAGCCTGCAACAATATGGAGTACAACACATATGGAGAATTAGCTTCTCCAACAGTCCTTTTATTGCAAAACTAAAAAGTTCAAACTGAATAAATATTTGAAGAGTCCAGCAACTTACCATCTCCAAAACCAAATAAGTTAAATAAGTCCTAGATTTCTGGACTGTCTCCTGCAAATTATTAAAAGCATATTTGTAGGACAGTCCTGCATTATATGGAAGCTACTCCATGAGAACACAGCAGCACCAGAGTGAGACCCCCTTCACTCAACACTCTTTAAAAATTATTACTTCCCACATTTAACAGCTTTTATATATACCTACATACACATCTACTTATGCAAGAATTCCATGCATAAATGAAATTGGTCTCAATGACAACACTTTTAAAATATAATGCAATGCTGTTTAAAAACCTCACATAATTAAACAGAAGAAAAACAAGGAGATATGTTTTCAGTAGGATATCTGCTGCATAATGGATGCTTTCCTTGCTAGGAGATGCATACTGAAAATTGAAGTTTAACACATGTTGTCCAAGGAATCAGGACTACAAGACAATCTAGTTAGAAAAATACTCATCTAATAAAAAAATTGAGTTTTCTAAAAACTTTTGTATCTTAGATATTTTCTACAGTGAAGACTACAATATATAAAAAAAAAAGTATTAAAAAAGTAATTCTTTGTTCTTGACTCAGGAAAAAAGGTTGTCCTCAAGAATAAAGGTTGTCCTTAAGAATAAAGGCTGCTATTTATCTGCTTGTAGCTCAGCCTGTTTAATCACTGTTAAGAGATAAGACATCAAAGCATACAAAGTGTTGAATACTTCCAAAAATTCTTAGCTATAAGTAGATGAATGGCGCTGCAAGCACAGACTGACCTCTTCCCCCATCACAACTAAACCCTCTGGCCTACAGAGCATTTAGGTCTTCCAGATTTGAAATAAAAAACCAACTCTAACTGACAGTAACTTCTTATCTGAAGAAAGAACAGGAAAAAAGTCACTGCCTCCATGAAAAGGATGAAGTTGGGAAACCGTGTACAAAGATTATTTTATAAACAATAACGATCTGTCTTTGAGCACCCTACTAAGTGTGCCCTGATGCTCCAAGGCAAACCACATCTTAGCATCCAGGGCACCCATTTTGGACATAGTAAGAAGAAACCATTCTGTGTGATGCATTTCAGACAAAGTATGAACTACGGAAGTACCACTTCCGTGAAACAGATATAATTTTTGTAAGAGACAAAAACGTGCATGACTGTTGAACAGCACCTGACGTGCACACCGGGCACCGTGGAAGTTTGCCCCCAAAGTTACCAGCAAGACCCGGAGCTCACCACAGGCCGTGTGTCTGTGCAAAGCACACAGGTCCATCGCTCTGCACCACCAGGCTGTCAAGGGGAGAGGGCAAACACTCCGTGCTAAGGCAAACCCTGCCTTCTCCCGCTGCGGAGAAGGGCGGAATCGCTGTCGGTGAGGCGAGGCTGCTCAGCCCAAGTGACACGCTGCTGATGCCAAGGGGGCCGGGGACGCGCATTACCTGCCGGGCACCGGGGCCAGGAGGGCTCCCACAGCCACGTCCCGNCCGGTCCCGCCAGGATCGCGCTGGCCCCGCTCCGCTGTCGGGAGCGATGGCATCCGCACTGCCAGAGGGACGGAGCTGGCAGAGAGGTAACCCGAAAGGAGGGTGTAGCCCGGCGGGGGTTGGCCTCTTCTCCCAGGCAACAAGCGACAGGACGAGAGGACACAGTCTCAAGCTGCTCCAGGGGAGGCTTAGGCTGGGCATTAGGAGGAATTCCTGCACAGCAAGGGTAGTTGGACATTGCGATGGGCTGCCCAGGGAGGTGGTGGAGTCAGCGTCCCTGGACGTGTTTAAGGAAAAACTAGACGTGGCACTCAGTGCCGTGGTCTGGTTGACATGGCTGTGTGATGTGCCACAGGTTGGATTCGATGATCTCGGAAGTCTTTTCCAAGCCAATTGATGCCCTGTTTCTGCAACGCTGGCGGAGTGCGCCCGCTGCCTCCGTCAGGGGCCAGGGAGCCCCCCCCAGGTGAGGGCAGGCGGCAGGGCCCCCTTCCAGGATTCCGCTGGGAGACAGGCGGGTTCCTGGTGGGGCGGGAAGGCAGGCAGGGCAGGGCAGGGCCCGGCAGGGCAGGGGCAGGGTTGTGTCAGGGGACAGGGCACGGAAGGCCTGGCCTGTGCGGTAGGGAGTGAGAAGTGGCGACGCTTGCAGCGGTCCTGCGGCCCAGGGGTGCCCCCGCCACCCCCGGGTGTCTGTCACAGGGCGCGGCTTCACCTCGTTCCTTGATGGGACTGTGCTCCCAGAGCAGGCTCCCGCTGCTGAGTACATGAGGAACAGTGGGACACGAGTCGGGTTCGGGGTCCTGCGGGGTACTGAGCAGGGCAGGTTAGGTGAGCAAGGCAGGTTAAGTGAGTTTACACAAGCGAGTCTGGCCCGGCGCTGATGATCTCCTAGGAGTTGATGGCCCATATGGATGTGTTGCTCAGTGTGTGATCCAGATCAGAAACAACAAAAGCATGAGCAAGTTTAGAATATCCTTTTCAAGGGCAGAGTAGAGTTTCTCATGAAATACAGATGACAGAAGATGTGCTTACAGAAATTGTCGTGGCAGAGGTGTTAATTGAGAAGCATTACAGAATGACTTCTTTGGTAGTAACACTTGTGCCAAAAGACTACTACTCACCGTGAATGCTTCAGAGTGCTTTTTTTCCCCCCCTCACTGCCATAGTTTTAACAAAGCTATGTAGGTCTTGGTTGGTTACACTTAAACATTAGTTAGTTGATCACATTCGAAAATTGGGCCATCTGGAAATTAATGATAAGGTCATATGAAGTAAAATGGAGCATGAGTTAAATGTCATTTTTATGTTGGCAGTACCAGTGTCCATGTTATGAGAGTAGTTCACCTGGCAATTCCACGCGCATGTGGAGAAAGACTGCTGAGAGAACAGCTGCATGCAATTTTCTATTACTTTGGTCTTTGGTTGAGTGCCTTCAGAAAGTACTCAGTCTTTTTTATCAAACTGTGTCTTCCTTCTCTTTCTGATATGACAGCCAGTACTGTGTTGTCAGCATTACAGATGTTCTGGTACAGGCTCTGAAACACGGAACAGTTTCAAAACAGGGCTTTTTTGCCCTCCATTCACTGACAAAAGGTGATCATCCATCAGTGCCACCAAAGTAATTTCATTTCACTCTCCTTCCCTGACCTGAATTCCAAGTCATTAATTCAGTTTCATAGAACATAATTTCAGTCATTTTACTAATGGCATCTCAGAATTTATGCAGTTTTCTTTTAGTTGTTCAGTGGGTGTCATTCTGTGAGGTGTTTAAGATATCTTCAGGAATCTCAGGACCCAAGTCCTTAGCAGGATACAAACTCTTCAAAAACAGTTTCTCTGGGGAGCACAAATGACTGCTCATTGCAAAATCACCCAGTGATTTACCCTGCTACTTGCAGGGTAAATGGTTTCCATCTCTACGTGCTAATATACATTGCAAAAGCTTTTTCCTATTCCCAGAGACCTAGAAACTACCTCATATGGGAAAAGCCTTTTTAATCCCAATATAAAACATAGGAGCAAAATCTGTCAGTTGTTATACTCAAACACAGTGCAAAATCCCACTTTTTCTGTATGCCTATTTCTGTTTCCCTCTAGACAGACAAAATATTTTCCATCCATCCCAATCTTATAGTTTGATACATAGTATTTGTGCCAGCACCTTAAAAGTACTTTGCTTTCTGTGTCAGCCAATAGCAAGCATTTCATGAGTGCTGGCAACATCTTAGAAATGTCTTGTAAAGGATGGCTGAGAGATTTGATTTCTGAATGCCAGATCCCTTGATGTCGAACACACGACCACAGCTTAGGCAAGGAGGTTTAATTCATTGTTCTGACAGGCATTCTCAGTTTTTCTTTAAGTAAAAACAAATAAGTAGGTCATTTGTCTTTCCTCAGATGACATTCCTGCCTGGAACAGATACAACTGCAGTGTGAATGGAGAGCTATCCTCATATGGCTGCAAGCACGCAATGCTGATGGGCGAGTTAAGTGTCCTTAGCCACCCCTTCTCTCTCTGCAGTAAATTCACCTCTTGGGCACAAGGGTCCCGGAGTATGAAGCTGCTGTTGTGCTAGTGCTGCTCCCAGCTGTGCTGCTGTCACTGTGCTGCTACAGTTGTGAGTGCTAGAACACACGCCTTAAACAGCTAGAATACTCTTGGTGAGTCAGACATAGTTCTGTTGCACCCCATGCAGTATCACTGCAGGGGAGTTTATGACAGAAAGCAAAGATCTCTGTGGTCTGTAGAAATGACGCTGACAGTCTGATAAATGCAATACAAGTTTCACCAGACAAATTGAGTTATGTGGTGACAAATGTCATCAGCTACTGTATACTGCAGCACTAAAATGTTACCTCCCTTTGCCATCCTGCTCAGTTTGCTCTTCCTTGCTCTTGTAGAAATCAGAAATCATTACATTTAGCAAGATGTCTACCTGCTTTTTTAAAAAATGTTTTCTGTGTACTTTCCGTCTCTAGACTTTGTACTAGGGGTGTCTGCATTGCTGAAAATTGGAAAAAGCAAATGAAAATACTAATAAAATGTTTTCTGAAATGTTTAAAATGTAAATTTTCTTCAAGATTCAATGTCCCACTGAATAGTTATGTAACAATGCTTAAATGCAGTCTTTTCTTAGTCTTTCATTAGGCATAATGAATATAATGTAAAGTCACATCAAAAGATAGTAACATACTACTGTGAGACAAAAGCCTTGTGAGTCTTGTCATTCATAGGAAATCATGTTTGGCAGAAACATATTTCTTTTAAGTTTCATTACAAAGTAAAAAAAAAATAAAATTAAAATGCCGAGTAAACAGACGTCTCATCGTGTCTGAAGGTCCACTTCCACATCTCTGTGTCTTTTAAGAGTGTTAGGCCAGGTTCCAAGAGGGATTCACTTTCTACTAGAACTCCAATCCCTGCAAGAGCATTAGGCTTACTGCCAGCATTCATTTAGTCTCAGAACAGCTTAAATTAACTCCTGTTACATTCTGTCTAAACCCTTTCTTACAGAGTAAGAGTTGAGAGCTGAGTTCAGTCAGTTAGTCTGAAGGCCACCCATGATGCTTGTCAGTCTTCCCGGACTTCAAATGCTGCATGAACTGGATTGGGGAAGGCAGTGATCAGCCGTTTGTAAGTTGACGGGGGAAGCTGGCAAGCCATCTTTTGTATACGTGTCCCCATTTCACAAGAAATAGCGTGGGGGTTGCTCTGACTTACTTAACATAAGTACATATGACAGTAAGCTCCAACCAAATGTGAGATTACAGTAGGCTGTGCAGTGTTCTAACAGTATTTTGATACTTTCCTGGAAGAGGTGAACAGACAAGCTAATCAAAAGACAGCAAATATCACTGCTTGGTTTTGTAAGTCAAGAATTGAATTTTAAGATGATATTTTGCCCAATGTCAGACAGAAGATTGAAATGGAAGGTCTCACAAAGCCAGACCTCCTTTAACCCCTTCAAACTTATATGATCTCTTAAGAATATCACTTCTGTTTTACTTTAGCAAACATGTTTGCTGTGATTAAAGGCAAACACTCTGAAGCAGGTAAGGATGTAAGCACAGGAAGACAAGTTTTCCAAAATGCGATAGCACAAAATATTCTTAGCACACTTAGAAAAGTACAGGGTAATTGGACAGAACTGGACAGTTATTAAAGTTGGCCAGCTGATACCTTGGTCTCTATCCAGATGCTCAAAAGTCCTTTACCAAGGTCTTCATGGTGAAGGCTAGAAGTTGACTTCAGGGATTTCCAAAGCTGCTTTGTATGACTGTTATTCATAGAATAGTTAGAACCTTTCAAGGTCATCCAGTCCACCTCCCTCCAATGAGGAGGAACATCTTCAGCTAGGTCAGGCTGCTCAGAGCTCTGTTCAACCTTGACCATTTTCATAATTTGCATCCATCCCTCCTCTACAAGAAAAACAAGCAAGCAAAAACAACAAAAAGAGGAGAGATTAGTTTCAAGGAATCTGAATTACCTTCCTCAGGTGAAGAATCTTTTAAGCTGTTAGTTTACAAAAAGTCCAGTCGTTTTGTATGTTTTGGAGATGATGGAAATGGAACTAATTACAGTCAACATTCATCCACTAGTAAAACTGAAAATAAATGTGAGCATTTTGTGGCTAGATAACACTATTCAGCTCATAAATAAGAGTTCACAGCAATTTTTGCAGTTAGGAGCTACACTATAAATATAACTTCAAATATTTTCAACTTGCTAAAGTTACTAGAAAGCTTATCATGATAGAGTCCATTTAAAAGGAAAAGAGTTAAAATTTATCTAAGATATGTGTCCCCAAATACTTCTCATAGCATTCATTTATATTGACCTTTCTAACACACTGTTTTCCCACACTCTTTGTATGTAGTTAGCTGAAAAACATTGCTGGCATATGTAACAAGTTCCCTCAAGCTTCAGAATTACTTTTTTGAAGTTAAGTTCAAAATCAGAGAAAAAAGTTTAAAGCAAAATTCTTACTTAAAAAAAAATAAATTATCTGAGAATGGAAGATAGGAGTAATGGAATTGGAATGATTTTAAAATGCGGTTTCTAAGTTGGCAGTGACTTTTTTGTGATAAATATTTGTTTTATTGAAGAAATGGTACACTGTAATGTGAATACAAAAGGCAGATCAAAACTGATACACTTTTGTGAAGGAATAGCCATTTCTTAAATTTGAAAAGTATATTTGCTATTACTTTCCAGGTAAGGCTGTAGGTCTCAATTCGGTGACAAGTTTCATATATTATGCCTAATTTTAAGCATTTTGAAAAATTCTGTGGTCTGAAGCAAGACTGCTTTGACTACATAAAATTAGCTGTACACATAAATCTTTGAAGTCTGGGGACTTTCTTGCTATTAGATGAGAGATGTAGTTCAACTTCTGTTTTATCTTTTAATGATAAGATCCCATGACACTTTTGCAACAATAGTAGAGGTCCCCTGAAAACACTTTAAGTAATGGAATTACATTATGTGCTTTAGCGGTTATATTTTCCTCATGTTTCCAGCTGAGTAAATTATCTTTCATTTTTCTTCCTTTGCAAACATTCTTCTGCAGTGCTGCTAGCAGTGATTAAAAGGAGACCCATATCCAAAATGGTTCCTATTATTTTGACCTTTAACCTGTATTTTTATATACATAAAAATATATGCACATTTATACATGTAATTTGCCTATAATATATTGATCATAGGATATCCTGAAATCTTATTACTGGTGCTTCCTATATAGAATTGTGTTGCTGAGACCTTGCTATATTTCAGGGAGTGTTTCTTCTCTTTCCTTTCATTCTCTGAAATCAGTGTGAGCATTGCAATCAATTTTAATTATACCAGTATTTCGCCCTGAATTTTATAGGAAGAGTTGGCAGCAATAACTGTAGTTAAGATTGCCTAAGACTTTGTGCTGTATAGATTCTGTACTTAAAAAGAGTGGGGTAGAAATTGTGTGTAAGGGTACAATAAAACATGTCAAGATTAGCAAAGTTAATTTTATCTGTGTTACTTGAAAAACCAGAAGGATTTATTAGGGACTCTGACTATATTTTTAAGTGCAATGTGACTGAGACTGATATAATTTAAAATAATTATTACTATGTAGTTCAAGAAATACTATAAAGGTGGCAAGGCATTACTTCACAGTATTACCAAAGACACAATTATAAAATTATCAGTATTGTAACCTGTAAAATATTTTTAAAATATATGTTTTCTGGAAATGTTGAAGTAGAAGAAGCATCATATATTTATTTCTTGTTTCTTTTCCCAGACTGCAGTCTAAAGCAACTATTAATAACATGTTGCACTGCTACTGTGATTTGTTAATGAAAGTTACTTTAATTATCGCATCCTTAATACTACTGAAGATGGTGAAGTATATATAATTATTTCTGTGAAAAAGAAAGGAATAATAAAACTCTAAATTACTGTTTTCTCTAATGTATTCCATTATTTCAAACAGTGTTTTCTTCTTTTGCTTGGAATACTATTTATAAGTGTATTGTGTATTCTGGAAAATCTGAATTGCATGTGTCCGAGAAGGTATAAGCTATACCAAGAGCAAAACTGGGATACACAGACCGTCTTACAAGATTTAGGGAATTTCCTGCTCACATGGCATTTATATTGTTTATGGGCCTCATGTTCCTGCAGCTTAGGTGTAGACTCCTGTGGCTGGTCTATAATGGAGAGATTTAGTTGAAGTAGTCCAGAGGATCCACAGCACATCAGCCATAACTTAATTTCTGAGAAACAGAGGAGTCTGGTGGAACTAAAGCATTCACAAGGAGGTTTCTGTGAAAGGGCAGAGGTGTGTAAGACATGGGTAAGGTTCATCCCACTAAAAAGAAATGTCTACATATAGGTGTCTGTATCTGAATTTATCTCCTTATGCTCTTATTAATAGGGTAAGTATTCATCTCATCATTGTCTCATCCCAAGATAAATGTTGAAGTGGCTCAGTTGAATCTCAAGCAAAGAAATACCTATTATTGGTCTTTCTGACTGTAAGGGGAACAGAGATGACTTTTGTGCAGTTGTAAATGTCTACACTTTTCTTTACTGTGTCTAGTTGCTGCAGAGATTGTTGGAAAGGAACTCTTGCAAATCTGGATATCAAACTTGCTGGGCACATATGCTGTCAGAGTTGGCAACAAAGGAGATAATCACACAGGGTTTGATTATGGATTCCACCCTGATGACAGATGAAAGCAGGGACATGTTACTTCAAGGTGCATCTGTGGGAAGAATGTTGCATGGGAGAAGTTGTGATATCCTCACTCTCTCCCTGTGTACTAACTTGTTACTAGGCTTATGAACATCTGTATTTGGGAGCACTGGAATTTATGTCTTTTTTGTGTCTTGACTTACATGAAAAATATATATATATCCTGTCAGTCCAGACATTACTGCTGTCATCTGCTGCAGAGAGAGCTTGAAGGGAGCTCAAAGGTAGATTATCCAATGTTCCAGAGGATACTTGCCTACTTGCCTGTGGTAGTGGAAGGCATTTAGGAGTGCTCAGCATACCATGCTAGGTTGCCCCCGAGTTTAGGTGGGAGGGATTCTTCGAGAAGGGAGGGGGGTGACTGATGACAGCAAATTATTGGTTGTTCTCCACAGCAGCACGAGAAACTGCCATTTTCACTCAGAGGACCTTAGGTCAGTCATGAGCCTCCCACTCCATAAGCCCTGAGAGCCTCCAGGAAGCTGACACCAGTGAAGCACTGAGGACCAGAAGAGCCTGTGGGTAATCTGCTGGAAACCAGGGACTATCCATGGTGTGACCTTACCCCAACTCTACCCACGATAGTGGTCTGTCAGTGCTGATAACATCTCAGCACCCAAAGAGCCCACTGCTCTGTTCAGACCTGGATGGACGAAGTGCAAGGCAAGTTTGAGGGATAAATATTGCATTACTATAATGAATAAATTGTAGGCTAGCAGTTCGAAATTAAAAGATTTAAATCTAGGATCTAAATGATGTAACATCCATGGAATCCCTTTTGTCTTCTCCTTTTAGTGTACTTTCCTCCTCAATCTCTTTTTATATAATCTCTGGTTTATTATATGTAATACTGGTGTATTCAGCAGCTAAGTTTGCTTGCTGATCACCAAAAACTCAGCTGCCACTAGTAGTTGGGATGGTACCAGAATCCCTGCAGGGAGAGCAACAGGGGATTCTGCTGCTCTGAAAGGTCAGGGTACCGTATGAAGAACAGCATCCATGGAGAGTCACTAGAGTCTGATTACCTTGTTTTTTGTACCATGGAACACATTAGGCTGGAATTGTCTAAGATCTTAAAACAAGGCAGTGACAGAGCTGGAAATAATCTGAAAAAACCTGGAGGCAGGTGATATTTGTAACATATTTTCTGCAAATACTTCTTTATTTGGACAGTTTTTGATTGATTATTGCAAATTTTAAAAAATAAAATAAAAATTTCTGCATTACCACATTTTTGGTGTCCACATTTGATTTTAAATCCAAGGAGATCTGTCAGTCTGATGCTATGACTCTTCACTTTCTTATGTAGTTTTTAAATTTTCCTAGCTATAGCTCCTAATTTGTTGTAGCTTACATTCTGAAGAGATAAGACAGACTATAGTCCAATAAAAGCAAGTAATAAGATGTAAAAATGTCTAAAAAATTAACTAGAAAAAATGTCTAAAGCATGGTGGGAACTACTACCATTAACTTCATGCCTTATTTAGTGCACCTTATTATAATTCCTTTGTATATAATGATACAAGTTTAAAATCCCTTGTATTCCCTAAGACTGAGACAATCTCTTAAGATCTTGAGATGCTTGGAGTAATTAGCAAAACTTCCAGATTTCAGTCCAGAACTTAGCTTTTGTACTTCTACATATACTTGATGGCCTAAAACTTAATTTGCCTTATTCATCATCTTTGTCTCCTACCCTTAAAAATTGTTTAGCAAGAACAAATAGTGAATGTTCTACAGAAATGGGTTTAAAGTCATCTGTCCTGTCTTCTCCTGTGCATCCTGGAGTTACAGTACTGATAGTGTATAAAACACAACTCTATTGTAATAGAGGTTATAGATAATACTGTGTGTTAGGCTTGTGGATACAAAGTGAGGTTTATATTGTCCTCTAGCAAATCAGAGAATGGTAAGATGTTTACTCAAAAGAGGTGCCTTGTCTCGTTTTTCCATACCTGATCTTACAACAGCAGTTATGAGACTAAAAATTACTGCTGTGGTTTTACACAAAAACAGAAATTCTGCAAGAGCAAATTTAATGGAATTTTGACCACTTTGTAGTCTTTGGAATCTACATTTTCCCCACCACTCAAATGATTTAAAATTATAAGTAGTTTTGCAAAGCTGTTAACATTATTTTCTTAGCTCACCCAAAGTTTTTGCAAGACTTATTATCTATGATGAATCACATCTTTTATTCATATAGTTATAAAAGCATTAAAGCTGTCAGGTATAATTTGCTGCTTTTTCTCCTTTTAGATTCAGCATGGTTTATGAAAATAAGCTAATTTAATAACTAGGGAATCTAAGTTATAATCAAATTTATTATATTTACCAGACTTGAATTTCAGATGGGATAACATTAAAAATGTGCTTGAAGAGGAAGGAGCAGAATTGCCAGTGGGCATTGAATTAGCAACATGAAAAATACCTAAGAATGTTGTGATCAAGAGTGTTATGGTGATGAGAGGAGGAAGAGGAATTTTGTTTGTCTTTGTCTGTAGTTTTTACATGTCACTAACTTAAATGAAGGTTAGAACCTCAGGCCAAAGCTTCAATTCAGGGGGAAGAGTGTTCTCTTTTTAGATTTTTCAGTGACTTACAGTGTGCCTTTATAAGGTAGCACTGCAACTCTGCCTACAAATCTCTAAATTTCTGTTAGAAAGAACATGTTGCTGTTTATGTGCATATGTGAGCACTTGCCACTGTACACAGCATACCAGAAATAATCTCGTGAGTTCTGCATCCACTGAATTTCTGATGAATTCTGGATGAAATTTGTGCTTGGAAGGCTTCTGGATCAAGGTTTCATGTCAGGAAGTGCTGAATAAAAGGTCTGTTCAAAACCAATCCAACAGATACACAAAAAATTTTTCTTTTCCTTTTCTTGTAGCTCATGTCAGTCTCCTCTGAGTCTTGGTACCCCAACCCTCTTAACCCAGTTTGTGGCACAGATGTTGTCTTATTTATCAATGTATGTTAAGACAGCCTGTTATTTTGGGATTACATAAATTGTGTTTGTATTGTGGAGCTTTTTAATTCCTACAGGTACTGCCTTTTGTGTATGCAATTTAAACTCAAGCAGTTTTTGTTTTTCCCAGGGACTTCTACAGACTTTCAGATATTTAAAAGCTGAAGTTACTTTTCTTTTTGGTTCATCATCTATTAAAGACTGCTGGCTGTACTAAAACTGGCAAAAGAGTTAAACAAGGATAAAAAAGAAGTGTTCCAGAGAACCAGTGTATCGTAGAGTATTCCTCTCCTGAAGGGACATTGCCATTTAGAAATCACAGAGAATAATGGTCACACAAATGCAAAGAAAAACAATTTTAAAAAAGGCCTGAAATTTTGCTTAATATTGACAAGCTCAGTTAAAGGAAGAGCTTGAAGTTTGAGAACTTCTAGTGACCACTTTGTGCAAAGGGGATTGTCTCTGTGTGGATGTGGTGCATCATTGACAGGACGCAGTAAGTCAGCTGTTCATCTGGCTCTGCTGTAGCTCTAACCCTTCACAGCTGAGAATGCTCATGTCACAAGTGGGAGGAGAAGGCTATTAGCCCCTGGCATTTCAGAAGATGTCTGCACAATGAAGATGTCTCTACCATGCAGAGCTCTTGGTGCTGAAGGTAGTTTTGTCAAAGAGGTTATGGCATAGGGTCCATAGCTGTTATGAAGAGACAGAGTCTCACTCTAGAATACCACATTCTTTTAGTCTCTGTTTTACAGATATAGGTCTTTGAGGAGACTCATAGTTTGAGGTTGACAAATTTAGGAAAAAAAGTTGAAGAGAATCTTATTGTTACAGAAGAAGAACTAAATGAACTTTTAGTAGAAAGGTAGGAACACGATGAAATGTCAAATTTGCACACTGCAAAATCTCTGGGTATTATTCTTAAGAGCAAAATGCTAGAATTTTGTGCTAAATGCTCAGTGATTCAGAGCTTGAGGACAGAGTACATGAGTAAGTATTTCTTGCTTTAGTCATCAAACAGCCACATTAAAGCATGACTAAGAAGAAAGGCAAGGCAGCAGTGAAATGTGGAGCTGATGAGATATCTCCATACTGAGAGCAGAACTGGAGATGAGATCAAAAGATGATTGAATTGAGTTGATTGCACCTTGCTTAAAAAGTAAAGAAGCAGGGAAGGGTAAGAACCTTTCAATAATTATAAGTAATCAGAGGGAGAAAACAAATGCCAGAAGACAAGATGTAAAAACAGCTCACATGACGCTGTAATCTCATAGTTTATGCTGTCAGCAAAAAGAGATTGGATGAGTTTCTGCAGACTCAACAGTAATTGCCATGCAGCAGCAGTCAGTATTATTGAAATGCTGGAACTGATGGCAACCAACTAGGCTGTCGTGACTGGGAGCAGACATCCTCCAAAGAGCATGAGACAGCATTCTGCAGCATGAGAAGTCCTTGCCTGTCAGTCTAAACTAGTGGATTGTTGGGTGGACTGGGACCTGTATCTCTCATGAGATAGGAATTTTGCCTTTTTCTTCTTTAGTGTCTGTAAATATCAGTTTGGTTCTCAGTGAGGATGGAAGAGTCTTCTTTTTTGTAAATGCAGCCTAATGGATATTTTCAGCAGTTGCATGTATTCTAAATATCAGCATTAGGAGGAGCAAAGGTGCTTGCATTTGTGAATATATTCAAGAAGGAGTACAATGTCAGGAGCTTTTCCTCTCCAGCTCAGTGTGAATTAGTGCTTTGTAATGTTCTGGCCATAACTGACCTTGAGTTGAGCTGTTTATATTTCCCCTTGAACAGCTCATGCAGTTCTGTATCATCAAGCAGTTGAAACTGGAACCACTTGTGTGAATCTTGCCTCAAGAGGTTTGAGGTTGCTGCTAAATGTTTTTGGCCAGTGGACAGAATTTGGATGTGCATTTGTAGCCTCACAAGGGTGGCTGAAGTCTTGAGGGTCATAGCAGCTGCAGTTAGCCGTAAGTCCCTGAACACACAATAGCTTTGAGCTGTGTGCCTGTGCTGCCCACCTAAAAAGTGTAGGGAAGGAGTCAGACTGATCTGTGTTTAATGGGAAAAGGAGTAAAGGCTGTGATCTCTGCTCTTAAATGCTCTTTAAAGATGTAAAAAGTATATAATTTTACCTTCTACTTGGGAATAGCTTATCTAAGGACTACTCTTGAAAGGAATTTCTGGGAAGGCCAGTTACAGGCAGGATTTAGTATTACCTTTGAAATGTTCTTTGTTTCATGGTGTATATTGCATGCACCAGCTTTTCTTCTCAGTTTGCTTGAGAATCATGTGAATAAAAAGGTACCATGAATTAGAAAGTACTGTGCTTATTAGACTTCTTGGAAGCTTATGTCTGTTCTCCATAACCTGGCAGGATTTACCCCTGTGTTACCCAAATACTCT